GAATAGCTTACGGCTTTCTTTTGATTCTGTTTAGTAGTCATCATGGCTCTCTTCTACTACTAGGTCTTAGAGGTTCAGAAGTTACTTTTTTGTTGGATATGCTGTAGTCATCCCAATTGCTTCTTCTCAGTCTTCTTCTTTCTCTTCTTTTAAGAAGGCTCCACAGGCAAAATGTTGTGTTTTTCTTTTTAGCGTGATATAAACCATTACTTTTTCCTTAAAAAGGCTGGTTCCTGGTGATGTAATGGGAGAAGCCAACAACAAGCAAGCAGCTAACTTTCACCTGTTTGTAGGCCTTTTTTCGGTGCCAATTTCAGCCCACATTTGTCCACATTGTAATGCGGCAGTACCATGTTATTTGATCTTTACAAAAATACACGTTTAAAAATGGCTCTTTCAGAGAAGAAAAATAAAAGGCAACCTGAGTTCATGATGCTGGCAAGGTAATGTAGCGCGAGAAGTTGCTTCCTCACAGACCGTGTGCCTAAGGATCCAGTCTGGATGAGGTCACACTCTGTGTGGAGTCAGTATGGTCTAATTTAACTGTGTAGGATTTTATCAGGTACTCTGTTTTGATTTATCCTACTCTCTAAAACTGTCCCCTACAGTATATGTATAGTGTGTAAGTGTGCCCTGTGAAAGACATACCATATAGGGTGCATCCCATCTTATACCCGCTATCTGCCAGATTAGTCTCTGGTTCACCGTGACCTCGTACTGGAAGAAGTGCTTATTACAAATAGGTGAATGGACAGACTTTGGTTATGGTGCATTTCTTGATTCTGGCATTCAGAGGGTTAATGTAATGTAATCTCACAGTTTCAGGCAATTTATCTTGGGCATGACCAGGTTTTCTATATTTGGTATTATCTTTCAATTTGTGAATGATTCCCAGAAAATGACTAAACCTACAGCATTAATATACGTGGTAACTTAATACTCCACGGTGTATTGTGTACTCAAATTGAAAGGATCTCTAGTGGTGTGTTACACAATACACACGTGGGAGCATCTTAAAAATTTGAGTCACCACCTTTCATTTAACAAGAGGCTTTGCATATCAATATAATACCATTGCTGTTTTTGTCCTTCCCATAATGTTCAGGAAGTTAGTTTCACTCTATCTGCTTATCAAATATGTGTCTTGAATAAGCTTTTTATGCTCTTTGTTTTAGCTGGCTGCTCCCACCACTATCAAGGATGAAAAGAATGCAAATAATTCAAAGTAAAAAAGAAAACCTCAAGTGATAAACAATCATCTTTGATCTTCTTACAGTATATGACTATTTTTTCCCTGAACAAATAACTATCATTAGCTTTATGTTCTGCACATAATTGAGCTGAACTGAGACCTTTTAAACTTCTGTTCTTTTAGTAAGGTGAAGCCTAGCCTTATAATACTGTCTTACGTGATGCAAATTTACAATTTACAGGTCATCTATATCCCTATTGACAGTTGGATCTGAAATGTAGCAGGAAACA